TCATTTCTTAGAAATCATATTAAATAGGGTTTTGTAACCTGAAATCAATGGATAAACTTCAGAGATTAAAGAATCTCCTGATGAAAAATTGATTTACCTTCAAAGAGGCTCTATAGATTTCACCAAATCCTCAAAGGGGTCTATGACACCCAAAATATAACAAACCACAGAATAGGTACAGCCATGGAAAGTCAGGTAGAAGATGAATTGTTAAAAACTAACAAGAGATGTTTCTAATCTAAAGGATAACTATGTTTGTGCTCAGAAAACGCAAAAGAATTTTCCTTAGCTAATTAGCATCCTCTAATTTATTGCTTTTGTTACTTCATATTTAGATATGGATATTCTTAAAGCTGGGGTCTATCAGCAATCCTAATAAACCAGTGAGCCTTCTTATTATTTTTTTAAAGTGTTTATTTATTCTTTATATCTTTATATCATAAAGAGCCTGGATAGGATTTCAGAAGTCATTTAGTTCAACACTTAGCTACAGGCAAATCTATATTCAAATCATCCCAGATGGGGGACTGTTTATTTTCAAGAGTTCCCATACCCTCCCTTAGTAATCTGTTAGTATGTGTCATAGCAGGAACTCCCAGCATTTGAAGATTCTTACTTCTGTGAAGAGTCTGGAGAAATTCTCAGCATTATATAAACAGGACAGATTTTTCTCTCTTTTTGTCTGTTTTTCCTAGTCAAGGCTGCTCTATTACACCATTAAAGTTAGGACATCATAATGTGTGTGGATAAAGAACCCAGACATGACAGTGGTGCTGGTGGGCATTTAAGAATAGATAAGAAAACGGGAAGTCCCACACCAAAGGAAACTATCCTCCAAAGACGGGAGCTAAGGAGGCGACCCAATTAGTCTTTACTTCTCTAATTTTCCTGATTACATATCTCCTTTTACTCCATGTGCTATACCTAGCAAGTTCCCTCAGACATAGACCTAATCAAGAAGGCAGAATATTGATGCAATGCAATTTAAATGAAAGCTGTGTTATGCTAAGATATGTGGCCAACAATGAGACCTAAACAACAGGGAAGCCCCTGAGGCATAAAAAGTGTCTGGTCCGGATAACATGCTGCGGTGGATTTCCAAGCAAATGAGGACAGAAAGGACCCAATATCAGCTAATAGTTGGGAAACTTCATTGGAGAAGACTGCAACTTGCCTGAGAACTGGGCATGGCAAACCAAGCAATAGCAACTTATAGTCACTCTATACCTGAATTAGCAGGCCCAGAATGGCACTTCTTTGGCTAGAATTCTTGGTTATGGGGTTCCTGCGCTGGCATATTAATCCCTGGAAAGGAAGGTAAATCTCTGTAAACTCCTTGGAGCATTGGGATAACCAAGCATTGATACACCTAGTGCCTGTGGAATATGCGGGGCCACCACAGGGAAGGTTGTAATCAGGCAAGAAGTTTTTTTTTTTTTTTTTTTTAATTGTCTATATGTTGAGGTCCAGATCACACTGACCTTATTGGGCTTATTTGTCTAAGCAACAAAGTGGTTAAGGGGGCAAACCCCGCAATCCAATGCCTAGATTCAATACTGGTTCCTTAGGAGTTATTTAAGAGCTATATGAACAGGAGCAAATTACTTAACCTATTAAGGCCTCACTTTCACCACTTGCAAAATGGGAATAATGATAGAATGTTGGTTAGGATAATGCCTGGCATAGAGGAAGTTGTTAATAATGTTGCGTGGATTAAATAAAATCAGTATAAAGTGTTTGGCACAGTGCCTGCCACAGAGTCAATGTTCAATAAGAGGTACTTTTGTTACTATTGTTACTGTCAGTGACAACAGCAGCACCAAAGAAAGGGTGGCAGACGAAGTGATGGAGAAAGTCGGACAGGCCCATGAGCCAAGGTAATAGGAAAAATGGAGAGAGATAAAGTGACCTGATGAGTCGGAATTGACTCGACAGCAACACGTTTGTTTGTTTTTGGCACTGAGCAAGGCTTAACATCTTGGATCTTTAACTAAGGAAAAATAAAGGAGCATACACTGGTAATAAATTAGGGGGAATATTGGGAGTACAGAGAAATTATCGTTGTTTCTTTTTATTTGTGTTTATTGTGTGGTGGTAGGGTGATTACCAGTTTTATATGAATGTTTTATAAGCTGCTGGATTTACTTACTGAGCATGAGCAGATAAATAGGGATGTTATTCAGCTGTGTCATGTCATGGGATTCTCATCAGCTCTGCCACTAACTTTCACACAAGGTTAATTAGTGAGGAAAGTTCGCTAAAGAGGAGGAGGGGAAGAGCAGGATCTGTTGGAGGATTCATCTTATTGAGGGAATGGTGGATGGCTAGACTTTCCTCTTAGCAGTTCTAGGGAGAGGGGTAGATAGGCATTGGGTAGCAACTTTCACAATATCTTGAGAAAGACTTACAGGGTATGTCAGAGGAGGGTGACTGACTTCAACATTATATGATTCGATGGAATCTGGAACAGCTTCTGAATCTTTTCTAATCCTGGCTGTTCAAGGTTGCACTTTTTAATCTTTTATTTCTCAGAGACTCCTTCTTATAGCAAGGTATTTTTAATCCTAAACCCAAGGTGCTTTCAGAAACACCCTTCTTCCACATGTCTGCAGGGTGGTCGCTTCATACCCCAGTCAAAAGTGACACGTGATCTCTCCAGGGAAGTCTTCCCTGACCCCCTATCTAAAGTGGTTTCCTGCCCCCATTGGCCACTCCCTCTCATATTACCCTGCTTCACTGTCTGCATAGTAGTGTAGCCTGGTGGTTAAGCACACACAGTGTGGCACCAGATTCCCTGAGTTCCCCAACTCCAGCTCTGCCCCTTTAATAAGTAATGGTGGATAGGCTAATTAATCTTTCTAGGCCTTAGTCTCTTCATCTGTGAAATGGAAATAATAACAATACTTTCTCCAAGCATTGTTGTGAGGATTTATACATGTAAACTATATCAAGTCCAACATATGGTAATGCTCATAAATGTTAGCTATTGTTATTTTAGCTGCCATCACTCTCTGAGATCACCTTCTTTATTTATTTGTTACTGTCTGTCTGCCCGCTAGAATGTAAGCACCATGAAAACAGGGCCTTTTTATTGTTCAGTGCTGGGTTTCCAGAAGTTAGAACAGGGCCCCGGCACATAGGAGGAACTCAGGCAATATTTGTCAGATGAATGACTGGAGGAATGTTCCAGTAGTATTTAGGAAATCAGCTTGTCCAATTTCAGGTCATGCAGAAAAAACAGCTTCACTGAGATGCCCATATGGCAAAAGCAAGCAAGCAAGCAGACAAACCCAAGTCACTTGGACTCCTGCCTGAAACAGTAACTATTACTCCATATTAGTTTTTTACCTTTACATCCCATGTTCCAAAATTTTGTGGCGCTTACTATCTCTAGTTTGTAGTATGATAATAACAGATGTTTTTGCTTTTCAAAAAATTAAATTACCTCATGATACTGAATTATATAAAATATTCAATAACCTCTACCACTTCCCCTTCCTCCTGAATATGCCCCCTAATAACCAGTAAAAACCAGTCAGGTGAAGAACAAATGCTGAGAGACAGAAAAGTAATAATTGAAAGGAAACCTTAAGCTTCCTAAAGAGGCTTTCTAGCATTAAAATAACAATGATCATGACCCCTATAGTCTGCTTACAGAATTCCAAACTTGCTAATTTGTACAAATGTTAACAACTATTAACACGATTGACAACTGTTGTACACAACTGTACACAGTTAACGACTAACAAATGTATAGTGTTCAAGGGGGCAGGAACTACAAAATGGTCCTAAGGGCAGTCTGTTTTGTTTCCTCCAACACACCCCTTTGTAACAAGACTCTATAGGGGAAAGCTACTGCAGGGGCAGCTGCCTGGGTGTGATGCTCCTGCTAAGGTTAAGGATGCTGCTCCACGTGTGCCTTTCTGATGGTAGGACAGCTCGGTAAAGGTCGTGTTTGGAAGGGCCTGCTTCCCACCTCCTTTCTTCCTTTTCTGAAGAATTAATGTCAAGGAAAGTGCCCGACTCTGACTTTTATACAGCTGCTAGTCTTCTGATGATTTTTATAACGTTTTTGAGACCAGACGATGGTGGCTGTTCAATTCCTGACAACACTCTAGTCACCCTACAGAACTGCATTAACAGAAGTTCTAAACTCTGAAATTGGGAAAGGTCATGATGGTCACCTCTGTGGTGCAGTCTATTTGTGTTTTCCCTCCCACATACAATAAATATTGTTTGAGAGACTGTAAGTGTGTTGTAAAATTGATAAGATTCAGTTTGCCAAAGGCATTTCATATATTTTGTAGGTCTTAATTTGTGTTGCTATAGTAACTGAAATGTTGGAATTTCCCGAGATTAGAAGGCTTTTATATCCTTAACCTTAAATGATAATAATGTAGATTATGACTCCAGACTTGGTCTTTGCTGTTTGTTTTCTTTCAACTGTATGTTGAGTATTCTATGTATGCTAAGATGGAACTGAATGATTAATAATTGTAATTTCAAAATTAAAGTTTCTGTCTCCAACCTGATTTTTCTTATCTATGTGTATGAATTTCAGTGGCCAAGATGTTATTAAAATGGGCAGTCTTTCTCTAAAGAGAAGGAGGGAAAATGAAGGGGGAAGTGGGAGAAGAACTCTTATAGATAGCAGCTCTAGAGCAATTATCTTAGGGATTGATATGAATTTGGCCCATCTTCTTCATCAGAGTGAATTTCTAGCATGCGCTGAAGCGCCTGAAGTATTAATAAGCAGTGTTTTAAGAAAATATGCTATACTGGGACATTTAGTGACTTAGAGTGTCTGACGTGAGATGGAGAGGTGTAATAATAAAGTCCTTACCTTGAGACAGGAAGATATATAATTAAGAACCCTGTGGCTGGCTGTTCAAGATCACATGTGTTAATTATTCGGACCCAAAGCAGCTGGAAAACTCAATGACAAATTACCCAGGATTGACCCAAGATAGAAATGTCTCCCTTCCTGGAGCCCAGCTTACCTTATATCCTGATGATTTGATGTGCACGCCACGTTTGGTCAGAGTAGATTTCATTCGGATGAAAAAGGAACGCTCAAGGGCGTTGTCAGTGGTTAGCAGACTGGGGCTTGTTGACTCCACTGAGGAATACAAAAATACATACATGATTTTAGATCTCTACACAGCCCCTCACAGCCACTGCTCAGGTGCAATCCTTGAGTTCACTAAAAATAAATGACTGATGGGTGTTAAGAGCGTAGTAATCAATTTACCTCATTTAGAAAATGTTTACTTTGCAGAAAATAAAAAAGAAAAATTAATGTAGCCAAAGTAACTCAGTTCTAGTCTCTAGCAAGAGCTTTTCAGGCTTTTTGGTTTCCAGCAGCTCCCTAAGTGGGACCTAACTGCAAGTAACTTATTGCAGCACAACCAGAGGCTTGGCCCATGCACATGGTGAGAACTGTCATGACAAAGGGAGGACCCGTAGATTTACAGGATCAACCAAGATACAGGCAGAGACACTTCTGATGGAGGGTGAGGAAGACCTGCGCTTTGTTCCTTCTGAGAATCCCTTCTTACACCTTTCACCAATCGTGAGTTCCAAGAAACACAAAACACAAAGACTATCCTGACCAGTGTCTTTCTTTGCCCTCCCGAGTTGGTTTTATTCACTGTGGGGAACAGGAAGCATGAAGTCTTCTCAACCGACTCAAGATAGCAGACTAGGAATGGGATGCACAGATAGAAACAAATAAATACTATTCCTCACAGCATCAACTTTCCATTCCTGTTACTAATGGCAGCTTTCCTTCTGCCCTTGCCCAGATAGGAAACAGTCTCTTTTTCTCACTTCTCTGCTTTTGATACGAGAAAATAACAGTTTCCTCTTTTAAGCAGGATACTCTTTCATTTTATATATTTTTAGACTAAGTAGAATTCATTTTTATCTATGAAATTCAAAATGATAGGTCATAGTCTTTCTGACTGAAAAACACCATTATATAAAGAGTTAATATGCAATGTAAATCTATTTTCTTTAAAAATGCCCTTTTAATGTATTTTATAAATTTAAGTCTTTTCCTGCAAAGAAATTAATCTCGGGGTTTTTAAGGCTAATAAATCCTCTGACTTTACTTTTCTAAAATAGTATTTTAAAACCTTTCTTATTCTAAAGTAAAAGAAAGGAAAAAAGCCCAGCAACAAACAAGATTTATTTTAAGCAATCCCACACTGACATTAATTTTCTCTGGAAAGAGTAAAGGAATACATGTAATAAAGAGATTTAAGAATTATATATATGTGAAAACAGTTACATAACAACAGAGAAGAGACAAAACAAGCTTTTAAAATTTAAATTATGAAACATATCCCATATATTTCTAAGAGAAAAAAATCTCTATTTTTCACATTAAACTAGAGGGTCAGATGAAAGAAGAATGAGAGCTATTATAATATCAGAAAGCTCACTATTTATGGTCTGGGGCTTTCCTTGTATCATCCTTTCTTAACAGGGGCATATTTTCCTATGTTTATGGTATTTCTATTCTGGGGTGATGGAATCAGTGACAAATGTCCCTTTCTTATGTGTCTCTCTTAAGGTTTTCTTTTTTTTTAGAGAGCATGGATCTGATGTCATTTTAAATGTACAGCTTTTTATCACTCGAGGGAAAAGCAGAGCCATGTTATATTTAGTCCTTTCATTTCTTCTGATTAAATATGAATTACTATGAAATTTTTCTCATCATCTAACACGCCATAATACGCCAACAGCTTTTTAATACACTATATAAGCACAAACTTCTGCTCTAAGAGTTTAATTTGCCCCTCTAATCCAATCACATCAACCTTATTTCTCTTATCAGAGATTCCCATTTTGAATTAAATGAGCTCATTAGTTTTAATCAAAAGCAGAGAGATCAAAACTTAAACGTAAATGCTTTAGATCAGAACTGTCAGTCAGCCGTGCAGTTCTATTTTACTAAAACACAAGATCAGAGACCCTTAGAACCAATTTTTTCTCGTAAGGGATGCCAAGAGCTTGAAGATGCTATATCCTTTCTTTTTCTCTCCCAAGGACAGATTCTACATTTAAGGTTAGACTTAATTTATAGCAGTTTTTTTCATCCTAGTGGAAATGGAAAAGTATGCCAATCTACTGTTGTCCTTTTCACATTTATTGGCACTGGTCCTCAGAGTCTTGAACTAACGCGAAGTCGTCAGAATCCACACCACAAACTCAGCCTTAAAAATTCAGCTCTGTTCAGCAAGATTGTGTTTGCAATAGCTGAGGAAAAATGAAACTTCTCAGGGAAGTGAAATATGTTTTAGGGCCGAGGTCCTGGATACTCTGACCTAGTAACGAAGGAACAACCTAGACTGTGGAAGTGTGGGTAATTCAGGCATCATTAGAAATTATTATTATTCTCAGGATGTGAGACTGTACAGTAAAACACTTAGAGTGCACATTAGAGACCACAGCATGGGAACTTCCCGCTGGGTGAAGAAACGTGAGACAAGCTTTGCCTGTGCTGCGGAGGCCCAGCACTGCATTCTGTCCCAACTGAGGCAGTGAGTACAGCACCTCCCCACGTGTTAACAACAGTAATTGCCTAAACATACAGGGGCAGCATTAATTAAACCCAGGACAACTGGTGTGAGAGCAACATGAAGGCTGGGCTTTGCCCAACTGAAGCTGAGATGTAAGGTCTAAACTGGTCCTCAAGCTTCATTACAAGAGCATGGGGGCAGGGAGGTGGAAAGAGGGGGAGAGAGGGCAAGCTAGAAAAGAGCTTGATTTCTGATGAAGGTTTCTGCTTTAATTCCGTGTGACTTCCTAGTTCTGAGGACAGGGCAGAAGTAATGTTCCATGCTGTCCCTTTTGAAGGGACACGTAACAAACTCATTCACAGCACACACACCACAGCCATGCTTCCTTAAGGGCTATGAATGCACTCAGTTTATCCCAACTCTGACAATGGTGTCTTTTGTGTAAAAAGATGTATTATCTGCATGTGACAGATGAGAGCAGCAGCTTTAGAAGACAGGCTTTGTAACTATCTTGGGGAAGAAATATAATTTTGATGAAGATTCTAGTGGGGGAAGAGCCAAGGCAGTAGCGGCCTTGGTGATGCACATCATGACTGGGGCATAGACTGGAGAAGGGTCGTGTGTGTGTGTGTGTGTGTGTGTGTGTGTGCACAGGACAAGAGGAGTGAGAAAATTCATTTTTAGGACAGGAACTCTATAAAGACAGTGGAACCACTGCTGTCAAGGAAGTATTTTAGAGCGCTTTCTAGGTGTAAAATGCTTGTCAGCTTTTTGAGGCAGACCATGATTGCTGCATGGTCTGATAAGAAATTTGGGATTCAGAGAAGTTAATACTTGTTGTCTGAGACACAGGAGAAATCTATGAGCAAAGCTGGATTAAGTGGTCAAAGCCTAGATGTGCCCAGTTTTGATCTACGAATTATAAGCAAGGAGCTGAACACAAACATAAAAGAAGCCCATGCAACTAAAAGCTAAATAAAGAAATATACTTTTCTTTTGCTGAATCTCAAGGGCTTCAACTTTAGATCTCAGCTCTTGAAATGTCAGTTTTTGCATATTTATTAAAATTTACAGAACAATTTACAGCAAAAGTTGTAATAATTTTTATGTTGGCATACGCCACCATAATGTGAAATCATATCTGGGTTACTCCACATCTGTTCATGATTCCTTAACTGGCATTGTAGCTGCTGCTCTCCTTATCATTATGTAGGAGCAAGATGTGGAGAAGAAGGAGAATGTGACTGAGAACGATCCAGATCCCCCATTGGGCTAAACCGAGGGCCAGGTTCGTTCTGAACACTTTCAGTATTCTTTCTGAGGTTTCTGCAAGGGTATTAGGCTAAAGCATAAGAAGAGCTTTCTTTTCAGTACACTCCAAATGTTTTCAGTGCAATCTAGTATCAGAATCTTCCAGCTGCCACCAAATCCTGACGTGTGAGAGAGAAGAAAAAGAAAAATAAGCTTTGAGAAAATGTTGCTCTCTCAATAATAAAGTATCTTTCCTTTTAAAGGTGAACCTGAATTGGAGCCCTGGTGGCACAAGTGGTTAAATGTTTGGCTGCCAACTAAACGGTCGGCAGTTTGAATCCACCAGCCGCTCCTTGGAAACTCTACAGGGCAATTCTACTCTGTTCTATAGGGTCACTATGAGTCAGAATCACCTTGACAGCAATGGGTTAAGATACAAATTTAAAAAATATTCTTTCCCCACTTCACTGCCTAAACCAGTCTTTCCTTTTTCCAGATGTTCTGTGCACACAGGACAAACCAAAGCACAGATACCCAAAATGGTTTTCACGAGACAAGGGAGGAGATACTGGTTCATTATTGCCATTATCTTGTTAAAAAGCCAAATTGTTTCGGTGGCATATCTTGTTAGCGTTGTTGGATACTGATGATATTTTAGGACTTCAGAATGAGTACATGTACACTGAAATTTGGTAAGCTGTCTCTTTTCTTGCAAAAGCTTTGAAGATCGCGCTTCCTCAGTCATTTGGGAGTTAGGTATGGTCATATGGCTTTCTTCAATTAATGAAATGTGAAGTCACTTCCAGGCAGAAGTTTTAAGAGCCAGTCAAGATATGCCACTTTTTCTTTGTCTCTGACATCAGCATTTCAAATGGTGGCTGCTCCATCAACCAGGTCTTGGAATAAAGACGGTATGGAGCAGAACTCTCAGCTACTCTCAGAGGAATACATGTTCGTTGTCAATTTGCTGCGTAACTAGGTCCATACTGACTGATTCAACACCAAATCTTTATTATTATTTAAAAAGACAGTATGTGGTCCAAGTTCTTCCAGGAAGTGAGTGGCAGAGCAGAATATGACACGTTTGATTCCAAAGGTCATGACGGTGCCAACACGCAGTTCTTAACAGTTATCTATGTACTTGTTTTATCTGTTATGCTAGACATGCGTGGGCAGCTGAATCTGAAAGAGGTCCAACTTTGATCCCCTATAGCATCTAGCATGATTCCTTGTGTCCAGAGCAAAGCTTTTATACACAAACACACGCACACTCTTAGTTGAATAATGAATGCTCTTGTAACAATTCAATAACTAATATTCATTACGTATTGTTTTAATAAAG